CAAATCTAGTGTTGGGAAATTCTACCTTGAGCATTATTCTATGAAACAAAATTTACATAAGTATTCTTTTAACTGTTAAATTTTTATATTACAATTTAACCCATAAACCAAAGAACCACTGATCTGAAAGCAATAGAATGCAATGTATCACAGCTGAAGGTAGTAAGTTACTAAACAGAAGTCTTAATTTATAATTAGAACATTCAAAATATTTCAAAGTGAATTTAGGTTTTTCCAAAATGATAACAATTCCATATAAGTTACTTAACACATTATGATTACTAAAAATTTTAATAATTTTCAGATTCTCAGTTCTCTGAAAAGACGTTTTAGTTCACATTTAATATACAAATTAGTATGTCAAATCGTATGTATTTTTAAAAAAATACTTTTGATTACCTTTTCCACATTTGTTCAATCTTGTTCCCCAATTAATATACTTGACATGTTAGCAATAACTTAATTGTCATGCTCTTCAGGACATAAGTTTGTAATAATTAAGAGTTTAGTAGAGGTATGTTTAAATATAATTAAAATTCCAAAAATAAAACAAAACTAGATACCTCACAGTTTTTCCAAAGTTCCGAGTCAGTCTTTCCACTGTTTTGTAGCTCTTGCATTAAAGAAGTCAGGACTCCAACTGTCCCTTGAATGACAGATGGTCTGGTCTTCCCTGAGAAAGAGGATACCCCGTTTGTACTAAGGTGGGGACTACTTCTGTTGAAACATAAATAATTCAAATGGTTTTCTTCATTCTACCAAAGTGTTGAATAATTCAGCAATTCAAGATTTAGCAGAGCACTACAAAACCACCGATATTTAATCCTTCTAATGGCACCTCATTTGTTGAAAATCTGATAACAAGTTTGTCCACAAAAGGGAAATAACAGTGAAAAGACAGCACTGTTTTTTAAGAACACAAGAGAAAGACTTCTAGAAGTGAGAGAACACTCCAAAGTATCAGCAGAAAAAAAGTTTGTGCTAAACAACAAGAAAAATGTCCAGCTTCTCTGATCTAAATCATTCCAGAGGATTATCTCACCCCACTTTAAGAACAGCCCTTCATTGTGTAGTTCGGATTCTTTTTCTACTGCCTAGAATTACAGTCAAATCCCATTAATTGGATCCCCTTAATTTGGTGTGATAAGCTGATGCTTATCTCTGTGCTATCACTGAATAAAAGCTGCACCAAGCAAATTAGCAGCAAATATTCACGACCTATTTAGCCTATTTCTGTGTAAAATAGCACTGCTTGCTTCCAGGAGGACTGCTTTTCCAAAGTTGAGATGAGTTTACTTCAGATGTGTTTTATAAACAAAGTATAATTCAGGACATTAAAATTTGTTTAAAATTCAGTCACCAAAAGGTCATTGTCATTTATTTATTGTGGGATACTCTGCTTTGTTTCACAAAGAATTTTTTAAAAAGAGAACACTAGTGAAAATAGTAAAATTATAAAGTTAGGAGCAGATAAAATATTAATAAAAATTCAAAGGAAAGAACAACATAATATGTTGTGGATAGAGGTTTACACAGTCATAATAATTGAGTTTAAATGTGGCCAATTTAACTGCCAGTCATGATGAAAGGGAGACAGGTTCAATTACATAACTTTCATTAGCAAGGCATATTTAGGTTCCTCCAGAAAAAAAAATCAAACAGTGTGTTCTAAAAGGAATTTCTTCTAGAACTGGACTTTAAAGGGGCCACAAAGTGATTCAAGAAACAAAATGTGTGGCCAACTTTTACCAAGTACATATAGACTACTGTAGCAGACATCTATTTTGGACCATTTCCCATGTTTTTTAAAATTTCCTCTCACCCTACTTTATGCTGTCTCGTTTTATTTTACATATTCTTCTAAGCTGTCTTAACTTCCTCCTGAAAAGGGCAGAGGATGAACAATTTTAAAAAGCAATTTATTTATTATACACAATTTAAGCCGGGTGTGGTGGTGCACACCTGTAGCCCCAGCCATGCAGGAAGCTGAGGCGGAAGATCGCTTGAGCCCAGGATTTGGAAGCGGCAGTGAGCTATGGCTGCGCCACTACATTCCAACCTGGGTGACAGAGTGAGATCTCATCTCTAAAAAATAAAATAAAATAATAATAATAACAAAGCTATTTGT